AAGAGACCATAAGTTGCTGCCAACATCAAGGAAGCAAGATTGTCAAGGTTTGTCATGTCATTTTGATATTTGACATGTAAACAATAAAATACAATTTTCATAATTTTATTCGGATGAAATCGCATGGGAACAGCTAGTCTAAATATAAACAGTCTATTAAAATCCGCCTGCCATTTATGTTTCGTAATAAATTCCTACATTTAAGTCAATAAAGGAGGTCGTAGTCATTTTTCTTTTTAATAGCAGGATGCTAGCCTGTATTTTATCTAAACGGCCACCTAACGTTTTCATACAACACTTATTTGGATATTCTGAACCTTTTTAAAAAGGGGCTTAAAGGCAATGAAGTTTTATCATAACGGAAGACTATCGGAGTCCGGCAAAGCTTTTAGAATTTTCCGCTGTTACAGCTTTCAAAGTAATATAGAGTTTTGTGCTCACTCCTTTGTTATATTTCACTGCATGATATTTTTTGGGTAGAAATTTCATATTAATTCCTCAAGAATTAGCTAGTGAGTTAAAAATTAAATAACATATTAGTTAAACAATTTACAAATACAAAAATAAAAACAGATTTTCCTGTTTCTTTTCGTAGTATTATAATATTAAAAAAAAAAACAATTCAATTTGAAAATAAGCTGCATTAAAAAGGAGTAATAAACTGTTCTAGAAGGTGTAAATAAAATACAGTTATCTTTTTAAATAATCTTTACATGTTAGAATTTATCCATGGAAGGAAAGAGGTCACTCGAGTGTAAACTGACGGGAGCCCTAGTTGACAGCCGTCACCTAGACCGAATGAAACAATACCAATCTGTAAAGAAAAGCAGAAATAAACACATTAAATGCAATCTATAACAAATATAGGACACACATCACTTCTATTTTATCCACTTAAATATATTTTCGACACAATAAAAATTAAATCAAATTTAAATAAACAGATACCACGACCACACAGAAAGAAGGGGTGAAGTAGGAGCAATTCCGCGTACAGTCTATGAGTGTCCGTGCGCTTTATTTATTCACTTTCCATCCTTTAAGATGAGGATGGTAAGGGAAAGTGGATTTGACGGTAGAGATGTCAGAAAGGGGAAATATTGTCTTAATGTGCGTCCCCTATATCTCTTAAGGGCAACCATGAATTACGGATGTCAATAGGCAACGGTCGCTTCGCTTTCAGCGGATTTAGTTGGCATCATGCTTGTTTGCCACCTTAAGATTAAAAAAACAATTACCAAAATGCGACGATTCTTCCAGACTATAGTCAACGGGCCACCGGAATCTCCTTCACATGTCCCAACGCCGCGGACTCCGTCTGTACAAAGATGGCTGCTGTGCAGTCGCATGTCGAACCTTTGTTGACACTGCGCGTTCGTGAGAACCGATAATGTCACTTGGTACAACGCTGTGGTCGACGGAAAACTATTTTGTGCTGAAAACATTAAACGTAATGTTAGTTCTTTTAGTCGATCTATGTGGATAAATAAGATTTTTAAAAGAAATGTAAGTGGAAATAAGCAAAACTAGATGAAAGGGTCCTTTAATATTACTTGCTGGCGCCTGCACATATTTTATAGCAATTATTTAATTACTACGCTTTTCTTAATTTTTGCAGTTTTTTTTTTCATATTAGTTACGAAATGTTAAATTTTACTTACAATCTCTGGTTTTCCCATACCCAGAAGCAATACCAGCTTGACCCGCAAAATGATCGTTCGCTTCCGAGGTTGTCGGTAGCGCAATTGGTTGTATATTTGCTGTAACAAACACGTTATTTCACTTTTAACTATTTAAAACTTTTATGCAAAAATCCGTCCACGTGGAATTTAAAAAAAAAACAAAAACCTTAATGTCTGAGACAAGACCATCTTCTGCATCTGTGTAAATATATATCGAGATTCATTCATCGAATACATCTAAACTTTCGCATGTATAATATTAGTAAGATTTAAAACCTACCATTTAAAGTAACCCCTGCCATTTTAACCATAGCAATATCGTTAGTTATATCATTAAAATTCCATTGCGGATGTACAACAACATCAGTAGTATCAACTCTTGTTCCTCCGGAGAATATTCTCAAAGATCCGAGAACGATCGTAAACTTTCTAGCTTGCATCTGACCATCTCTCCAGCAGTGGGCAGCTGTGAGGACCCTGGTGGTAGATACTATCGAACCGCCACAAATTGATTGCGCTCCTGTGGTTAGAGTGACTACGATACCAGCCTGGAAAATAATGTATTTACCATTATTAAGGATTCCTCTGTAACGTAATCCGTTAATTGCGAATCTTGCTAACCCTAAGTGATATATGGATTTTCTAAGTTTAAATTATAAATTTGTAATTTAAAAAAATGTGTGTGATTTTTAAAACTATACTAATATTATAAAGAGGGAAGGTTTGTATTTTTGTATGTTTTGAAATAACTCAAAAACTACTGGGCCGATTTTAAAAGTTCTTTTACTGTTAGAAAGGTAATATGTCTTTGAGTAACATAGGCTACATTTATTACATTTTAATTTCATGAGGGCGAAGTCGCGAGCAACAGCTAGTTAAGTTGTGAGTTCTAACTAGGAGAGTTTTAATTTATTTTTTATATCGTAGTTTATGTATTAGTATAAGTAATATTTTATTTATAGAAATAAAATCATGTATTTAAAGTATTTAGTTTATGGGTGCAGTTTTCGCCAACAAACTGCTTTGGCAGTTTGGCGAAATTTTATATTTTTGTATTAAAATTAAGCTACTTATAAATAAATAAAAAAAAAAGTAAACAATGAATTATATAAATAGATACTAGTTTACAGCAATCATTATTCTTATAAATGTTATACTAGCTTTCGCCCGCGGCTACATTTGCGTGAAATTAAAAAATAACGAAAGTAAGCCTATATGTTCTTCCTCTACATCTATGCTATATTTCATCGAGATTAATTCAACATTTAAGGCTACAAAATCTAACAAATAGCTCAACTTAAACTTTCGCCTTGAAATTAAAAAGATTGCTCAGACTCAAAAAGCTTCTTAGCGTTTTTAAAAACACAATTATACCAATAGGAATATCTAAAGTTTTATAAATTTTTAACATTTGCTAATACTAGCTTCATAACCATTATATTCATGGTAAACAACCCTTTTTTTAACTTAATAAACTTATAAATTTCAATGCCACTGACCTGATAAGAGAATGAATTCAGCGTCGTAACTTGAGATCCTCCAACGATTCGCGTTGACCCTTCCGCTACCCTTATAGCTCTTGCCCTCGGTATTCCTACCAATTTATGATAGCCCCAAGTACATTGCACAATACTAAAACATAACAACGCAAATTTGATATACATTTTGCAATACAAAACTTAGTATAGAATGACGTCATTATTGTAGATGTCAATAATATACTGTTTGTTTATCAGTATTTGATTATCTTTAGTCGATAAATATGATTCTATAGAAATGATAATTAGTAAAGAATAAATAATAATATCTCTATGTATACTAATATAAGAGGAAATATTTGTATTTTTGTATTCGATTCATGTAAAAACTACTGGACCGATTTTAAAAATTCTTTCACCATTGAAAAGGTAATTTATCTGTGAGTAATATAGACTATGTATTTCACGCGGATGAAGTCGCGAACAAGAGCTAGTCAATACTAATATAAGAAAGCGTAAACACACACTTCTTTGCTGCCTTAGATGTCAGCAATCACAGCATATTTTCGAATAACTCTTTTTTTAATAAAAACCCCTACACTAACGTCACGCTTTAGGCTATATATTTTCACGCCGTTAAACTTAGGGGTAAATTTGGATATATTTACAAATAATTTGACAAATGTGAACAATAAAATGAAATTTTTATAATTTCATGCGGATGAAGTTGCATGGGAACAGCTAGTCTTCAATAACTAGGGACAATTTACTGCGTGGGATTTTAAACATTTTTACCTATGATATAACAGCATAGTTTAGTTACCTTCCCGTTGAAGTTCTGTCAAAAACGGCCCAGTCGTTTCGGAGATTTTATGGAACTAACTCGGCTTACAGACAGCCAATTAAGAAAGTTTTTTTAGTTATTAACAACGCAAATACGTCACGATTACAAAGTATGTTGTATGTATTATAATAAACAGACACTCCAATTTGATTGTATGTACAGAATATAGATAAAATACCCAGAGTCCTTCTGGCAAGTGAGTCCCTTTGTACTAATCAATTGTACTCAATCGAAACATCATCGACTTTGTATGAGATTTATTGGTGGACTTTGTGGAGGTGTGCGAATACTTTCTGGAATGTTTTCTTGCACGTCCTACACTTAGTTACCATTATGCCACTCTTAATGCATCATTAAGATAATATCAAATGTCTTCAAAGTTATTTACGAAGCGTAAATTATTATCAATTTACATTATTATAAGCAATCGTTGTTTTTGCTAAATTTGTTTGATAGAATCTTTACTCAAATAAAAATCTATACACAATAAAGAACTTCCGGTATCAGATTTGATAAGATTAAAAGAATCTACGAATTAACTAAATTCATTTTTAATCTGTAATGTTTTTCAGGAAATTCCCTTTATACTTATATCTTGTATTTACTTTGATTATTTAATATTATCAGATTGTTTAGTACTTTGATTTGTATTTAACTTCAAGTTTTCAAGGGTTATTGACAACAATTAAGGGTGGGCAACGCATCTGCAATTGCGGATGTCTATGGGCTGCGGTCGCTTTCCATTCGCTTGGTTGTTTGCCGCCTTATAATATAAAAAAAAAGCATTTCAAATTACAGAGTACACATTTCAAAACAATAAAAAATCAATGCACCAATTTTTAAGAGTTTTACTAAACTATCTGACAACTGTCTAGTCACGCTTTGACTCCTATGAACTTATATGTAGGTGCGCACATTCTGAATTTTAGTTGTGCAACTAAACAGTTGAATTGGCTGCGAAACAATCGGCAATCGCACAATTGTGTGATAGTTTAGTCAAAAGTATGCGCCCACACTAACTTTTGTTAACGCATTGGTAATGTTGGCCATCCTGTCTTGCGTATGAGTAATGGTGACAACATGGACATGGAATCAGTGAAACAGTGATATCAGACCCACTTACAAGAGCAGGCGTCTGTCTGCGAGCACCTATGTTAGGAGCATTCTCAACACTTCCCATGAATCTTTATTTAGCTTGGTCATCTTCACGCGTGTTTGATGGTACAATATCGCTAATTATTTGTTGTGTTTATAAATGCCAAGAGAAAGTTGGGGGAAAGAAACAGATGAAAATAGAATTTAGATATTCAATCTTGCAAATATGCGTGCGGGGTGAAGAGTTAGATAATTTCTGAAATGAAAAAGGAACATAGGCTGAGAATAATAAGTTTAAAATATTATTCAATTATAAAATATCTTTTAACATTAAAAGGTACACAAGAGTCAAGGTAAGTCTAAAGAATTCCTGTTTCGTTGTATAAGAGCAAAGCTCTTATCAGATTAAGTATTAAAGGGAAAGGCGCATTTGTATTTGGGCTGGCTCTCATCAATCCTGCTGCTCCGCGCTGTAGCAAAGTAATCTCCTCATTTGCTCAGATAACAGAATCGGGATAAAATCGTAAGGCGGGGATAAATGTACGGCCCGCATACTAATGAGGTCAGTAGCAGAAGTCATTTTAGAACATATATTAACGAATTTATAATATTTGTAGTTATCCCCCGTGACTCCGTCCGCGTGGTTTAAAAAATCAAAAGTGAGTAGCTTATGTCTTCTTCCAGACTATCCTCTACATCTATACTAATCGAAATCCGTTCAGCCGTTTAGGCTACAAACTCTAATAAACATCCATCCATCCATATTTGGCATAGATGTAGAGGATAGCATGGAAGAACACATAGACCAGTTACTTTTGCTTTTTTTTTGAATTGCAGGCGAAGGCTAGTAATGTTGTAAATATCAATATTTTGTCAAATAAAATGGATAATTGTGATTGAGTACCACAATGCTTTTAACATTGTTATGAATTAAAACACATCCATTTGATTGAGTTGTGTATTCTCTGTATTTTAAGTACACATCAATTTTCATAAAAGTGTGTTTAATTAAAACTAGCTTACGCCCGCGACTCCGTTCGCGTGGTATTAAAAAAAACCAAGTAGCCTATGTGTTCTTCCAGACTATCCTCTACATTTATGACAAATTTCATTGTGATCCGTTCAGCAGTTTAGGCTACAAACTCTAGCAAACATCTATCCATCCATCTAAACTTTCACACCATACTTCGTACTATAATATATACGAGTACTACAATATAAATGCGAAACTTAAGATGCATGGATGGATAGATGGATGTATGTTAGAGTTTGTAGCCTAAACGACTGAACGGATTTTGATGAAATTT